CGTGGGTCAAACCCGGTCTCTCTATCTCAAATCCCCATGCCTAGACCTAGGCAACCTGAAAGTATCCCAGCCCTTGTGCTTCCTTCGGATGGCACGTTAGCTAGACCCTGAAAGCGTGTTACAGCTGAGCGATTTTCTTCAGCCAAGACTAACTTATGCTGTTGGAAAAATGAACTCGCATTGGAAGTGAAAGTGGGTTACCAGCTGGGAATTCAAGCAAACCGGACCACTTTAGAGCTTTATACGTCTAAAGGTACCCACTTCTTGGAATTCCGGCTTTTTCTGAAATCCCTTCGGCATTAAGTTGAACCCTCGTGCACGGTTACCTCGAACCTTTCTAATTCGGCTTTGCAGACTGAGCATCGAAGTCTGCTAAACGAAGTGCAAGGAGAAATAGTTGCCGGAGAGGCGGATCACATGCTGGGTTAAAGCACTGAGTACGGCACGACTTAAATGAGAAACTTTTCACCCGATTCACAATTTAGGAAACTTAAAATGTCCTACAAAAGTTTACAAATATAAATACTNTGTGAATCGGGTGAAAAGTTTCTCATTTAAGTCGTGCCGTACTCAGTGCTTTAACCCAGCATGTGATCCGCCTCTCCGGCAACTATTTCTCCTTGCACTTCGTTTAGCAGACTTCGATGCTCAGTCTGCAAAGCCGAATTAGAAAGGTTCGAGGTAACCGTGCACGAGGGTTCAACTTAATGCCGAAGGGATTTCAGAAAAAGCCGGAATTCCAAGAAGTGGGTACCTCTGAGTGAGTACGGCACGACTTAAATGAGAAACTTTTCACCCGATTCACAATTTAGGAAACTTAAAATGTCCTACAAAAGTTTACAAATATAAATACTGTCCAAAGGAAAAAGGAACCGTCAGAAGCTGGACAACTGTTGGGCAGTCAGTCTTCCCTCCACTGCAGGTGGAAACCTGGCATGCACCCTGCTCTGTCACATGAACCCCGGAATTCTGAATGGTTCCTAGAAGAACATTATAGGTTCGAAGATGGATGCGGTGCGATCGACCTCATACTTACAGCGCTTAAGCTGCCGGAAACAAAGCTAACAAGTGTACTGTTCGCTAATGATGTGTACGAAAGCTCTTGACTCGATGAACTGCGGACCAATCTAGGTTTTTTTTCAGAAAGCTCGCCTGCCCGTACTATGGATACCATTGCGTCTGTTCATGTCTGCTTGAAAGGCTTGAGTGTAAACTACAGAACTGTAGCCGCTGGAACCACTGTGCCTATGGCACACGGTTTTTAGCTAATAAATTGAATTGAACTGAATAGTGGTTTCACTCAGACGGTCTCCGAGGTCCGGTCGCACAGGTCAATCGCAATAATCTTCGGGTGTTCCGGGTATTTTGAGCCTCTTCCACTTCCTTAGTTTCTCACGTCTTTCAGGGTTCACGGGCGACTAACATGTTAGGTTTCAGTTGGCGCTTGATAACTAACTGGTTTATGTTCGGGACTAGCGGGAGCATTTCTCCAAGATCCAGGAGGCACAACTGTCCTGTCTAATATCCGGTATTTGAATGGACCTGATAGTGCTGTGCCACAGGTGAAACTTGCTGCCATTTTCTATCCAGATTGCCTGAATAAGTATCTGGAGGTGTAGACACCTCCAAGTGATTGTGGTATGCTGGCACCAAGTCCCTTTTCCGTCGAATTTTATTCTTTTCTTCAGAATAAGGCTTTCAAATAAATCATGGTTATACGACAGCGAGGCAATAGTGTTGAACAATAATGATGATTACGAACAGTTATATAACAGCTGCCTCGCATGGGACAAAGGGATTTTGGTGGCATCACCATGGTATAGTGGGTTTTCGGCTGACATGAATTTGTGCAAGCGAACCAGAGCACATACCAAAGTGATTTATCAGTTAGGCTCGCACCGCATGTTCCCTACCAACATCTATAGTAGAAGACTGTCCACTGCAAACCTTCGGTGGTGAAATGTTCGCAGAGGTAAGCTTTGAATTGGCAACGTGAAATGAAAGCGGCTACTGTTAAATTCAGTTACGTTATATTTTCGCACCTTCTTGGGTGGGATGGAAAGTTTTTTCCGTGCCATCTTTAGAACCCTATTGTATCTGCACACAACTTTTTCCAATGGCGGGCGTGCTGTAACTTTTTTACCCGGACTACCTAGCTATTTTTTTCGCCGTGTGGGGGTTGGGGCTTTTTGTAACAGGTTCCTCTTCTTTTTACCAAGGTTTTACTTCCACATGATTTTATGACAGCCAAGCAATAATTTTCCGCTGATGGTGTGTTGTTGTCCATTGTGATAGAATCCGATAGCCGGCTGTGATCTCCAACCTTCCTACCAGTTCACAATCTGCATTTGGATGAGGATATGATGCAATGCTACTGATTGTGGTTTGAACCCAGGCCTTGCTTCTTAATTGCCTCTTTCTAGATGTAAGCAACTGGCCCTCATCTTCTCATCGGGTTGTGTTGCGCCCACGCATATAAAGAATGTCACAGCCGAGGGACTTCTCATGCTTTTCCGTGTGGTCCTGAGGACGAATGTGGTATGCAAATCCCCATGCCATCCCATGGCTGTATCTTAGTTGTACTGCTGGTTGTGTTTCGTAAACGTCAATCATTTGGATAATTCTTCGGACCGACTAATCTTTCTTCGGAAGGAACTCACTGAAAAAATAAAGATACCCGTAAGACACTTGCCTTTGGTTCACAAGAAGACCCTGTGCTTTAGAATTGCTGTTCACGGTATAGCGTATCGTACAAATTTCGGCAACGTTTGCAACCCCTGTCTACAGACTTACTAGTCGATACTGATTGCTAAGGTATACGGTTCGTTCGACCACATAGGTAAATGCTTTTGGATAAGCCTTGATCTTCGTGTGGTTACCGAGGCTGTCGTGTCCTAGGCTGTTGTGCTGTACCATACCGCACCATGGAGTGCATGGTATAGTAGCCAGACGGGAACTCTTTACAGACGGTACTTTGGAATTCTCGATAGTATTTAAAAAAGATAATCGTTCAGCTGTAAGACATCTTCAGTGCCTAGCTGCTATGCCACCCGAAGGAAGCTCAAGGGCTGGGATACTGCCTGGTTTCCCAAGTCTAGACAGGAGAAGTCGAGATACAGAGGTCGGATTCGAACCAAAGACCTTTCGGTTAGTAAATTTGCGCTTTAACCATTGAGCTATCTCGTCTTGGTAGTATTTGTAATGTCCGTGCATGATTTTTGGGGTTTAGCAGTCAAATCGAATATCGACGGTCGAAGTTCTCAAATGGGTCAATATCGACGGAATCGAGTGCCCTCTGATGGACAATCGTACGTGCTTAGTAGAGCGCTTAGAACGAATGACCGATAAACGCATCCAGAACGATCGATTGGTGGGTGGAAAATGAATCTGAGGACGACTGAAGTGCCGATATTAGAGTCCCCAGATGGGCTTGAAAAACTGCATATTCATTCGCAGATCTTGAGAAAATCTGGCGGTTACCGGAACGGCCTGAGGAGCTGATATCTGTAAAATCTTGGAGATCTGCGAGAAACGGAGCAACCTAGTGACCCAACGCAAGTGGATGTTTCAAATCGACTTCGAGTAAAACCACTGCTGCATCAAACTCTGCGAGACCTGCGGAATGGCATTCATTCACCAAAAGAGCGTCATGGTAATTAGTGCTCGCTATTGCATGTCTGTTGTATACTGAACACTTATTATGATTTCGACCAACGAGGTGACTCGGCGCAACTGCGAAGAATTGAGCGTCCAAATTTTGTCTTTAATCGGTTTCGAATAGCTGCAACAAGAATAAAAAGAAAAGCTGTTATGGTGATGGAGGGCTGAGTGTGATCAGTAATGAAACCACGCTCACATAAATCTGCTCCTGATGCATCTAAGCTCAGTGCATTAACAATAAAACCACTGAATGTGGTGGTTAAGAGTATTAGTTAAAAAACATTCATTTCCTCATTAATTTGGTTCTCGTGAAATAATCAATCGAAATCCAGCTGAATCCCTCGTTTATGATGTTCTTCAGCTGAACGTGTCGCTCAAAAGGCCGGCTCATATTTTATTTGGTACGTTATTCACTATATTTTCATGGAAGAAACTACTAACAAGATTGCTGAAGGCTCTTCGACACCCCACGACCCGTTTCACTCTTATTTGGGCTCATTAAGTAGGCGCCATCCGCGTGTTTCCCTCAACCATATTTTCTCCCTGAATCCAAATTGCACAAGATTCGACAAATACACTCATCAGCACACCATTTTGGTTCTCACCTGAGACTCGTCTGAAATCCATCTGAAGAGCATCATAAACGAGAGAGTTCAAGAATATGCGCCACTGATTAGTTGTTCCAAGTGCGAGACTGGAATCCAGTGATTTCCCTCTTTGATGTGGATCAATCGGAATAATCGCACGAACACAGGGGGAGGATTGTTCAAATTAGAGTCTGCTATTTACTTGTTGGGAAGCAAAACGAATAGCTATCCTGGTCTCTTTTACCCTTTCCTTGTCGAAAACCGAGGATTCTTTGATGACAATGCTTTATGTGCACGTGACCAGAAGAATCACCAATCCCATGCCGGAAGTTTGTTCCTCGATTAATTTCTTCTGAAGTCTGTTCCATTTTCTCAGAACCTTTGCACTTTGAACTTTTCGAACTTTTGGACAACGCCCACAGGTAATCATTATCATCGGTAGCACAACATCAATGTGCCACACTGATACCGCTTTCCCCGTATATCTGCCTAATAGAAGGAAGGGCCTAAGTCTCTTATGCGACATTTAATTTACGTGGCGTTTGGGACGTGAGGTAACTGTCATAAGTGCTTTCCAGTACACTAGGGCTTCGGTATGAGAATATATATTGTTGCTTGATATTTTACCGAAAGTTCACAAGGTGATGTTAACTGACTTCGAAAATCTGTTCAAAATCCAGCTGTCTAACACTTTTTGATATTAAATACCGACACACATAAGCTCGAAATATTTTTTCTTCAAATAGGTCTGGGATGCCTTCAACCCCGGTGAATGTTCGGAAGTCCATCATTTTGTTTGCCAAGTTGTTGAAGAAGTGTGGATTTTCTGAATACTTGCCCGAAAATTTCCGGCTCGCCAAATTTGATGATCCACGCAGCAAAGACTGTATGTTGCGTCTACTATATGAAGTTATCTACTTCTCTCAGTACGGTCACATCGATGACTTGGCTCACGAGGGATTCAAGCGGTTTTCCTTTTCTGATGTGCTTATCTATGCTTACAAGAAACTCCAAAAACTCGGGTATCCCTGCCTGTCTACTACCAACAAACTAGGATCTTCCAGAGAGCTGTTACTGGCTGCCGCATGGGTATTCAGTCAATGCAATATTATGAGCCAAATTGAGCGCCACCTTCTTTGCTCATTTGATGTCACTGAGTTGGGGCGCACTACGATACCACATTTTGAGAAGTTCACGTCAAATTTATCTTTATGGCAGCTTGACTGGTTGTTGGGGCGCGGTCGCTTTCTGCAAAAACAACTGTATCAACAGAGAATGGGCATAATCAAAAGCTATTTGCATTCGAGGGGGAAATCACATTTGAGTCCGTTACAGTGTTTACCTGTCGAAAATCCGGACTTACTTCAAGCCGAAGCCGAAAAAATCAAGGTGAAGAGAAACGATATTGAGCTGCTGAAGCTCTGGCAAGCTGAAAGTGTGATTTTCTGGCGGTGGATACAGTCGGTCGCAAAAGAACGAACATCAGATCACTTTGCTCCGATGGTGTCTCTCAGTGAACTGTCGTTGGCGCGATCCAGCTTATTTCAGTGCTTGTCAGCACACATCAACCTGGCAAAAGTAGCCGGTGTGCCTCAAGGACCCGACTTGCCCTTTGGCTCTGAGCAACAACCATTTCCTAGTCTGCTTACACAAATTGACGATAATCTCAAGGCTTGCAATCTGCAGCTCTTGAGCGCTGAATCGTTGTGTCCATCTTTTATTTCTCCCCTCTTGTTCCATTATGATATACAGACTTCAGATAAGAACTCCAAAGTCACGTCTCGGCCTGGGTGTCTATCACTGTCGGAAGAAAGTGCGAAATTAACCTCACTTTTACAGGAATGCAGAAGACAATTTGAGGATATAAAGAAAGAACTTTCCGAACAGCTACAAGAGTTTGCCAGGCATAACATGTCCGATGTATTATTTTTGTTTTCAATGGCTGGTTGTACAGAATAGTTACCATGGATCTTTTGGAGGCATATTTTGATCTTTTTCCACTTGAGCGCAAATAAACCTTAAGCTTTAGTCAAGAATTATGTTTTGCGTTCCCAAAACCATTGCTTTTCTTTTCACGCTTGATGGTAAATTAGTGGTTACGAACATTGGTGGACCCGTTTAGTCGGTATTCGTGTTGATTGTAGCTTTGTTAGCCGGCATACTTCTCCACTTTCTGGTAATAACGGTGTGTCATCCTGTTCACCTATAGGGCTTCAAAGTCCCACACATCATATAGGATAACATCTGAAGTCTGTACCAGATAGCCCACTGATAAATACATCGGGTTTTTAAGTGCAAAATTTTAGTCGAAAGCTAGTAGAAACGTGGTCTATCTAATTTTCAGTTTCCTACGTCGGTTTGGAGCTGACGCATCTTTAGGTCAACCTATGGGCGAAATAGCCTTTTGTGATAAAGCACTACCACAACTTTGGTAGTGAGTGCTACCGCAGTAAATTAGTCGAGTGTAGGGTTTGAATAACTTTCTTATAGTGGGAAGGGTTAGTAGCAAAAACGTTACAACCGGAAACCTTCCACATATGTGCGATTACAATCGACGTCATGTCCTCTTTACATGCACCCAGCCTGCTACCTTCAATAACTAGTAAGCCGATCTTACCACATCGTATTACTACCATGTGTCTCTTATTGGGTTTCTTGTAACTATCCGTGACTAGGGTCGGATACATAAACATGCATGTACCATTTAGATGCGATCTTGAACGGTTGCGGTTCACTCGAGTTATCACTATCTCCAACCTGGCTGGGACCTTCTTCAGTGTGCTTACAGACGATAAAGCTCCATGGAAAGTCACGGTAGTATTTATAAACATTTTGGTGGTCCGAAACTGTTCAACTATTCTTTCTTAAGCAAACCTAGAAAAATGATCAATAACGGCTGAATCCGACTGAAGCATCCACAACATTGGTGAAATGAAAATACCATGAAAAAGACCAGGTGCAGAAAAAATAGCTTATTCGGTCCCGATGAGAACGTTTGGGGAATGAGATGACCAAATAAGTTAGGGTTATTATAGAGTCTGAAGTGAGAACTATTCTTGTCTCTACCGTTTCATGAAACTAGCCCGGTACTCCTGGCAGACGATGCGTCCGCGCTTGAAATCTTCGGTTTGTGGAATCGAGCCGTGGAGCTCCGCTTCTAGTATTTGTAAATGTAGAACCTTGTGTCCTGCAGCTAGCAGGAAATAACTTAACTGTTTCCTCCAACTAATCGTGATTCCGTCCTTATTAAGATTTGTCGTGTTCAGTTTTGCTTTTTGTTTCCGTATACAATCAGCCAAATGGAAATGATGCATCTTTTTGGTGCTGATTCGATTTTGGACCGGGATCGGCTAGCACTGGCTGTCTATCTGGCTCGCCGTGATGTCGCTCAGTTGGTCTCAGGAACAGACATGCAGCCAGTGAAAGAGAAGAAAACCAAAACCCTCCCTCAGCGACCCACCGTCTCGACAAAACCAACCACACAAAGCCGGGTAAGCTGTTTTCCGTCGGTCCTGCAGCGCATCACTTTTATACGGAGTTGATGTTTTTTTGTGTGACAGACTTTCGATCCGCAGATTGCTGCCAGGGCGCAGGTGATAAATTAATTTAGGATTGTGGCCATGTCGTTGGTGCTGTGCGAAATTCCGAAGCAATTTTTGCCGAACGATTGGAGGGCCCACTGCTCATTGTATGAGGCTCGTACGCAGGTTCACTGTTTCCCGCTTGTCATTTGCCCTGCGGCCGCCTGTTTTGCTAACTAAGCCGGGCAATGAATCTCGAAATAGCGAAATTAGCCGAGCTGGATTGGTGCTTCTCGCCGTGCATCAATGAGTCAGACTTCAAACGTCCTACTATCTGGAGCTTCTCAAGTAGGTATTTTCAATAAACTTTCATGTGCCAGGTTTGGTCAATCTTCATCGTCATCCTGATGAACAAAAACACAGGCCTTTAGTTGAGCATTTCTTATCCTTCGGGGGCATTGACATCTAGAATGCCGACGTATCCCAGCGGTTGTCCTCACAACACTTAGTTACACCGTTTCCGATCTTGGGATGATTCATGTACTGGGAAGATGTATCAGTGTCAGTACAGGCTGCTATACAAACCAACTACCACTGGATATATCCTACTCGATTTTATAGGAATCCTCACGATCCAGTGGACTTTTCCCTTGTCATTTAGTATGCGATGGCTTCACACGATCATTTTGGCTATTTTTCAGCATGGTTATCCCTGCTTTACTAGTGTGGGACAACTAGTCAGGTGTGCATCAAGATGTTAGCTTGAACAGCTGATAGGTATGATTCCACCGGTCGTGGAAACCGGTGGTTTCCACGGTGGTTGCCATTGGTTTCGTGAGCATTATAACAGCGAAAATACAACGTCCAAACGCACGTAGCGAGAACTGAAAAGGCATTCCATTTCCTCAAGGAGTTTTTGTGAGACCTATTGAAAATGGTCTGCAGGGCTTCCTCAGATACCCTGTATACAACAGCCGATGTGAACTCTGTTTGCTTATATCAGCACTATGGTAGGTACGTTTTTTCATGTACAATTGTAGTATTGCTAAGGAAGCCCCAACTTCTTTTTAAGTGATATGAATCAGTATTTGGAAGTTTTCCACAGAGGAGCACGTAGTATGAAGTGGAGTTGACAGCTTTGTCTTCTAACCTGGCAATTTCGCTCAATCCTAGGCCTTACTATGGGGCAGTTACCACTCTAAACCAACCCAATTTCAACCGTTTCTTTTAGCCAAACGTTGTTGGTGGCTATTCATAAATTTTGATGGAATTTTGGCTGTACACAGCTAGGCACATAACTTTTTCACTCCGTTCCATATCTGTGACTTTTCGTAGGTTACTATTCGTCCATGTTCAGCGGGACATACCCTAGCTCCTGACTGTGCCAGTCAGCCGCTCCGAGCAGAAAATGTTGGATTGACTTCATCTACCCCGATCTCACATGGTGTCCCTCAGGAAGAAAGTCCCGGACACCCACCGGAGTCACTTCCTGCTCGTGGCACTTCTCCACCAACCCGTGACCTTAATTCATGCAACATCCCCCGCCGGACACGCCCCCTGCATGCTCCCACTGAAAAACAGCTACAGTGCGCTAAGGTTAGTTGATATGGTTTCGGTAAACTGTGAATCGTCTTACACTGAATTTTCGAATACGCTCTCATGAACCCACTTTCCATGACTGAAGTTGCAATGAGCAGAGCTTCTGAGTGTACTGCTGGTTGGCAAACATTTTTTGCCGAAGGTACCAAATTATTTCTTCAGTGGGAATATGAATCACAATTTTCCCATTTCGTTAACGAAAAATCAGTTCGCGGCTGCTTTCAACATTGCTTGTCAGATGGACCTCTTCGGTTCAAATATCCACTAACTGGTGGTCGTTGGCTTGTTTGCTGAGCTGGGCAATTTGATTGCAAACGTTTCATCACCAACCGAGGTAACATCATCAGTGCGTTATTGTGGAGCGTAGTAGTGCGTAGCGGTGGGTTGGTGGTTGTGCCAACCACCAAACGTTTGCGATCAAATTGCCCAGCTCATCGAACAAGCCAATGACCACCATCTACGTTACCTGAGCTACCGACATTTTCCTCTATATCCACTAACTTTGCGCACATACAATCACCCCTCAAGAAGAACCGCCGAAAGTGAAGATTAAAACCCGTCACTCCAAGAAGATTGGTCTCTATGGTGGGTTCCTCTGGCCCTGCCCCTACTTTCACTTGTTATATTTGCTTCTAGTTAGGCGTATAATCGACGTGACATAGTATTGGCATTTCCTTTTGGTTTGACCTTGTCCAGTCAAATTAAGGCTAGATGTATGAATGCCAGCAAATGCTGGCGAGATTCGTTGTCCTTCAGCAGTGGATGAGCTACCGTGCTGTCACTGTTTTCCATCTGTCCTGAAGAGTGTTGTTTTCTATGCCTAATTCGGACCGGCGGAAGCCTGGAAGTGGACAGAATACGATATAGCAGAAGAGAATGAAGAAGAGTACAAAGTTTTTGGGTGCTGTTGATGCTATTTTTTCATCTAGGATAGGGCCCATGGGACCTTCGTGTGTTTGGCTGCAGATACTGAATGATGTGGCGGCTAACCAATATCAAAGATGTCTATCCTAATTATCTGACTGGGTGTTGGGTGTGTAGGCATCTCGGATGTTTGTTGTAGGCCAGCAATAGGTCCCCCTCCCTGTTCCTTTTTTCTCTATACTATATGGCTTTATTTAAATGAATTGACTTGGCTGTGTGGCACTGAAGCACCTACCTTCTCCTATGATGCTCACAGCCGCAGCACTGCTTAGGACTTTGGGCAATCTACCGTTTTTCTTCTAATCACGTGAACTTCTATCAAAATATTTATGCCATACCTAGGACAAGGGTTATGGCTGTTAGAATCGATAATTCGAGGAGACAGTTCAGTCAAGCGAACTACAAACGAGAATTTTTGCATAACTTATTGACTGGCGCATGTTCTGCTTGTTAACAGATTTTGAGATATTCTACCAATTTGTATGCTCACACACGGTGTCCAGTTGTACAAAAATTTCACGGAATCAACCGTAAAATGTAGCAAACTGGGAACAAGTACAGCAAAACCACACAGTCAGGAGGGGTGGCTTAGTGGTTAGAGCGCGAATTTACTGACCAGAAGGTCAATAAATTTTGCCTCTACCTCTCGATTTTCCTTGTCTAGACTTGGGAACCTGGTAGTATCCCAGTCCTCGTGCTTCCTTCTGGTGGCATGACAGCTAGGCACCGAAATGGTGTTACAGATGAACGGTTGTTTATTATTATATTGTAGAATGAAGCAATTATATATTAGAGTCGTTTTCATGGCGTAGTGTGTCGGAAAAGTGGTCTTTGGTGGGGGAAGAGTCTAGATAGGATGGACTTCCATTACTAGAAGAGCGCTGACTGTGAGAAGAGGTCTCGTTTGGTGCATCAGATGAAGGTATATGTATGAAAGTCATGGATTCCTGTCGTCCAAGTCGTTGGAAATTTCCCAAACTCGAGCTAAGTAATTATGCTAAAGAGGGTGAGGAAGAGCATACTATAGTAACAACAAGCACTCCTAAGGACCTGCTATGACTGGAGAATAGTTTAACGTCAAGCAGTGACTAGTTCTGAGGATTCCTTTATTTCCTGGACTAAGCGAACAGCGACAGCCTGTCACCCAACGATGGCATGGCCAATCAAAGCAAGTCAGTGACGGAGCGTAATTTCTGTTCATTTTATTAGCGTTTGTGCCAGTTGCCACACTTTCTGTCGCTGGAATATTGGAGAGTGTGGGAGATATTGTCTGGTATTGGGGACGATTACATGATAAGTTATTGTGGGAAATTGAGAAGCTGCACAGTGAAAGTAGCAGCCTTGATGCGTGAGCGTGATAGAGCCACATCTGCCAAAATTTTTGTCCCCTGATAAGTTATTTCCCGGGGTTTCCATTCAGGAAGGTAGCAGTCGTCAACCCCACTGAGTTTACTGGTTACTATTCTCGTAGTTCGTTATCAGATCACAGATTGATGAAGCGTTGTAGCAGATAAACTGAAAATGTCAGTTTTTACCTCCTATTGTTTTCTTTTCCACAGGACTCCCATCTACGTCAATTACAGGCAAAAATTGCTCGCTATTCTTCTGCACTGGCAGATCTACGAATACGCCCGACCGAAACTACCAGGACACGTTCTGAAGCCAATGGTACCGGAGCGGTGGTGCGACAGCCACCAGTAAGACGGAGAAACAGTGTCTCGCTACGTCCTGTCCCTAGAAAATCCCGTTCAGCGTCATTTCTGCAGCAGAACGTTGTGCCACTAGGGTTCAAAATACATTCCCGGCCAAACTCATTTCGACCAGGTATTTCAAGCTGGCCAAATAACCATCGTCGGTCAGTCTCGGAGACACACAGGAAGTCTGCTGTCTCATCCAAGCAGCAGAAAATTCGTGAGCAGGTGGACGCGTTATGGGCTGAAGCCCGACAGTCCTTAAGTGTGGTTGATAGCGAAGTGGTCGTCCTCGAACCAGATCAGGAAAACCCTATTCAGGTATGCGGAACTTGCTTTATTTTCCTTTTTTTCGTACAGCTTATCCTATAGGGCGATTATCTTAAAATGGAGCAATACTAGACGAAAAATGTCGTCGGGGTTCGTGGATGCAGTTTTCTATCTTTTTCATTGAACCGCTGCCGGTAATTTCAGAGTATGCTCGACTAAACAAGTTTGCACTTTCGAGAATAGACTCTTTTATCTACACACCCTCGTGCAGTTTAGGTCCTCTGAGTTAAGTTTGCCTTTCAAAGCAGCTTGCTTGGTCTACAAAGATGTATACAATTGTATATTAACAGCAGGATCGTTTGGTGGATATTTGGCCTTTTATGGGAGTAGCCTTCCTTCGGAGGATCTCACACTAGTTTATGGCCTACGTGGGACGCTATTGCGAACCCTTCAGTGCTTTGTTTTCGAATTGGTTCCTCTCGAGTGTATTCCTGTTTACATAATTTCACCCACATCTGAATAGGTTGGAATACCAGTAGCATTTGTACCTTTTGCTAACTCGTCTTGAATTTGAACGCAGCAACTCTTGATGCCTCTGTTTACTACTTAGTTGCTCCATCAACTGAGTCACTGCAGCCATTACCGCGTTATTCTTTTTTTCCATTCTGTTTATGAGATTACATTTCCTAGCACTATTCCTATTTCCTGTTCTTTATGCTGGCTTCATTGACAATATATACGTCTGTCTCATTCTGAAATTGAGCTATGTTGCCAGAGGTGATATCATGGGCTGTGATCTATTCTGTTAGAATAACATAAACAGATGCGAACCGGTTGCACCAGGTTGACTTGGGGCACGTGTTTAGAGACTGGTGGAATATGGCTTTTCCAAATCGTTTGAACTCTCCCGTTATCTCTAATGCTTGCCGAATCCGACATGAACAGCAGTTCTTCTGTGAAAATACTCCTATTGATATCTTGTTTCCCTCGTCATGGATAGAACCTGAACAACGTTCCTTCCGTCGATGCTTCCCCATACGTTATCCCCGAAGAAACCCAGAAGGAAAACAACCAGCTCGGTACAAAGCACGCTCGTTTCCGTACTCAGTCACCGAAAAGAATAGAACGTCTTAGGACTACTCATCATTCAGGTAAGTAGTCAGAGTGTTACGGTAGTGTGTCTGCATGTCCGGTATGCATGCTAATTATCTTCTATCTCCAGCCCTTCTGCTTCATTAGGGATTCTTTCATTTTTCAACTAGTCAGAGTTCTAAAGAAGCACTTATTCAATAAACACTGAACACAAGTGCCATATCGTTAATTCCGTTCCTCGCATTGGACCAACCGCACATCCGTTTTCTTCCCCAGACTTCGAGAAAGGCAACTATTTTGTAGTCAGATCCCCGAAGCCCATTTCCAGCGTAATTTCAATGAGGGCCTTATTCAACTATGCAATCAGCAATCACTTGGAAGTTTGTTCAAAATTCACATAAAGAATAGTTGAATGGATGCCCAGTATCCCTCATATCTGGCACTGTTCTGAATCACCAACACACGTTATAGGTTTATAATTTTACCTGCCATAACTACTACTTACCAGGATGTTACACCCATTTAAATGGTCTCATATCTGGCAAATCGGGCTCCAGTGCGCGACAGTTTCGAGCGGTATCTCATTGAGTCGCTTCCGTTGGCTTCACTTCTGACAGTCTTTTTCATGTTTACTGTTTTTCTATCCAGTTCGTTCGTGGATTGTGAACTGCGTGCTGAAAATTACTCCCTACCATAAGCAGAAAGTTCTTAACTGAACCCCACTTCTCCTGCCTACTTCCCATACTTCCTTGATGGATTTCCCAGCTATTTATTTTGGCTTTGTCATCTATTGGATATGGAACCAGAATATCACTAATCGTACCCGTTAGCCTTAATTACTCCTGTACTTCATCCAACACAGGATAACTTGACTCCTTTGCTGTTTCTTTCTAGCCAGACCGAGCACAAGGGAAGAGCAAGGTAGGGAGGTCATGCCACTTTCAGTGGATGATGTCCTCAATCAACTGGACGAAGCGGAGGCCGAGGAAAACTCGATACGTCATCGCTGGGCCCATCTATCTTTTGGTCTTGACCGAGGACGACGACCTTCAGTGAAAAAGGAATACGACTCCTCTGACGCTTTCGTCACCGCCCGGTGAGTGCTTTTCAAATACACTATCGCTAATGTGAGGATAAACTGCAATTACATCTCTCTGACGGTAGTCATTGTCGAATTGTAGCTTACAGAAATTAGCTTCGGACGAATGGTGAGTCGATCTTATACGTGTGGTGCCGTAAGCGCTACTCGGAAGCGATTTTCTGCCGACCGATACGCTCAATTTTGTAGTGTGCGCTGTGTACAGTATTAGGGTTTAGTTACTTCTAACTGTCGCCTTTCGCACGATTAGTTTGTTCTTGCATGTTGTATCATGGGTGGCCCACCCAAGCAATCAATATTTCATGACGTTATCAGAAACGGTTGTACAATGTTTCTAAGTTTTCAGCATAGATTGGCTCCACTTATTACAGGATGATATCTGGACTGAAAATCCCCAAATCTCCTCACACTACCAACTAATATATTTGTTGTCTTTGTCGATCAACGGATAGCGATGATGCGTCTGCATCTTTTTACTTACTGAACCTAAACCACGAACAGACAATTCGATTCGATCCCACGGATAAAGTTTGCCGTTTCGGTGACTCCAGAGGCACAATAAGTAGTAGCCCTTGTCACACTAACCCTCTTCGATAGAGACCGTTCTAAAATGGTCACTCCAGGGAGCGGAATTTCTAGAGGGATTTCACTACACATCACCACCCTTGGTTCATGTTTTAATTCAACTCGTTCCACTCACATTGCTGTTTGTCTCGTTTTTTCACAGGCCAATATTAATCCCCAATCGGCCTGAAGCTCAATTAGGGCGACGCCAGAACACCCTTATGAAAAAAACAGCAGAAAACCACATGAGTCTTCCCGGAGGCACGCACATTGTATTCACAAAGGTAATCTTTTCGTCTCTTAAAGTTTTCTCAGCCAGTAAACCGTTCAGTTGCACTTTTTGTGAACCTGTTACTTAGGCCCCGTTATCTGCGAAACTGAATTACCGACTGTCTAATCTTATATTTAACCGGATTGGGTGGCAAGCAAGAAGCAAGTACTTTCTCACTGTCACACATTGAAAGATATCCTATGTATACTGCTTCCCCTCTCGATGAAATATGAACAGAGTTTCTCAGACTGGACACCACACGCATTCAATATGGCTGAGTCATGCTTGTGCTGGCCAATTTTGGGAATAATTGGAGACACCAACCAGGGTGATTAGAAATACAGAGAGGTTCACTGTGCGACCTTCCATCATGCGCTTCAACACAAGCGTGTAGTGTGAAATGAACCACGAGAGGTGGAAATGGAAGTGTCTCTTAGACAAGATGAACCTATGTTACTCGAAACCACTGAATTCCCTGGCACTTTTGCTGTCTCTTCATTTTGTCAACCTATATCGTTCGATAGGAAACCCCTGTTGTTTTAGCAACCAGACCTCCATATATGGTCAATGTGCATAAATTCTGCACCCAACACTTGTGATACGTGCCACTGTTTTCTTTTCTCCCGTCCAACCAATACATATGTGTGTGCAATCTGGCCTACTTGTTCCTTCCAGTATCAGGGCAACTGTCGTTAAAACAATGCAGTTATAGTGGATCTATATAGTTTTCCTGATTTTGGTGAAGATACTTTCAAGACCAGGGAGAAGAACGGTGATTGTGGTTGGTCACGCAAACTTGAATACGTTTAATTGACGTTCCATTCCTGTCTCCATATATGCCAACTGGAAGCCACCCTGTGCTGGTGGAAATCAACTTGTGGGCACTTTGCGGATGGACATTGTTTCTCCGCCTTTCGATTTTTATTCGACTAAGCATGGACAGGCTAACCCCAAGGGATCAACCGTTTTACTTTCATAAGGCTGCATTATTGGCCTGAAATATTTGTTCCAGTTGTCGATGCGTATCTTGAAACACGTGACCACTTGACTTCATACACCAATCTTACCCAGTTTGGTGTTCATTCTGTTCTTCGTTTTTTTTCGGGTCGTGACTGCAGCCGGGCTGCATTATTGGCCTGAAATATTTGTTCCAGTTGTCGATGCGTATCTTGAAACACGTGACCACTTGACTTCATACACCAATCTTACCCAGTTTGGTGTTCATTCTGTTCTTCGTTTTTTTTCGGGTCGTGATCTGCAGCCGGAATAATAAAATATCTTGTCTCAAATTGGCCTTATTTGGTCTAGTTTCTTCTTCGCTCTGACACGGTGTACTTCTGCACCCTGTTTTCACAGACAGATTTAGAAAGACTAGGCATTTTGACGCAGCTGTGGATTGTGGTATAAATTCCCGGACTCTTGAGTTCCCCCACTCCTGAAATACAGAAACAAGTCATGTTACACCTGGAACTACAAGTTCGAGACTTATTGTGGAGGATTTGAGCACTGAATTCGGATTGGCTGGTATCACTGGTAGCTGAAAACTCCACAACGTCCAGTTCTATGTGGGCAATCGTCTTAGAACCGCTCCTCACACAAGGCCTTGTTGCGTTCATCCGCCAGTCATTTCGTGGGTCGATATTCCACACCATCTTAGCGAACAATAACACCTCAGATGACCGTCTCACCCATATGACAGTGTCTACTGGTGCCAAGCCTACGAAAACTGAGGACTTGAGAAAGTCTATCATGGAGAGTATCATACCACCCTGGGTTCAAATCCGTTCCGCTGAACCGGACTTTTTGAACAGATGCTTTGTTTTTGTCGATTTTACATACATGAGTATTCCAATCGTATACTTCTTTGGCGTGCACACAACTCTTGGTTCTTAGGAGCGTATTAGTAGAAATTAATTAGACGGTGCTTTGGAACAGTTACCGCAACATAATTGAGACCGGAATTGAACACAAGTACTCCGATCATTATCGACAGCAGAACATCGTTGTGCTATACCGATGCTCCGCTACCGTACGAATAAATTAAGAAGAGACTTAGTGCTAGCCTATCATAATAATTTCCAGGTGCCTACGTCTCTTATGCAGAAAAAATAGCTCACAGAGCGGGCCACACCGCTTGTGTTTTCGTTGCGTGGTACATTTTTTGAGTCGCAGGCGAATTGTTTGATATGGTCCTGACACTCTTCCCGGAAATATTGTCCGTGACACTCGACAGATCACGCTGGATCATTCAGCTGGATTGATCCTGTGGCTTGATTGACCAAGCGTCACATGTTCGACAATTCCAGTTCTGCCGTAAATTAACGGCCACTCTCTTATTTTCCGAGATAATTGCCAAGTCGCACTACCTACTTAGTTCGCGGAACATTCACAAACAACTGAGTAGACGGTTGGATGGCTATACGACTAGCGTGACCTCTTACCACCTGATCGATGCGAAACACAAGGTCGCTTCAGCCGAATGATTCGACGTGATTCATCGAGTCCTTTGAAATCAATTAAAAGTTGCTTGCGAACGAGTCCTGTCTGCATTTAATTTATTGAAAAATAATTCAGTACTGCTTTCATTCTTGAACACTGCAAGTTATTTTTGTACCTCTTCAATAGTCCGTACTTTTCCGTATTTTTTAGACTGTCCCCGACGCCACATATACAAGTAAGAGAACGCAGTCACCCCTGAAAGCCCAGGATTCAGGTTACTTCGCGAATTCACGAATTGCCCTGAGATTACCAACACAGCTTCACCGAAAACTCTTGCTGGAGGCCGCTAGGCGCCACAGGCACTTTGTCATGGTGTGCGAACAACGCAACATACTTACAGCCGAGGATTGTAAAAATGTACATCCCACACGTGTTTGTGAATGGCTGGCCGATGAACTGGTTGATCAGTTACTCAGCGAAGTCGTTGCAGATATTGAACGAGAGACATCAGAATTAGTGGAGGAAATTGTAGAAGGTGAGTTACACACCGAGGCCCCTGATTCAACATTGACAACACACAGCAACATGAGCGATTTGGACGATGGTCAAGTGCCTATTAATACACCATTTCCAGGGGTGGAGGATCAATTGGCGATTGTTGAGAGCAGTGAACCAAAACCCCATTTCACTCCACGGTCGGATCTGTCGCCTGTACACGCCCCCATGAAAAACTCACTGCAGCAATCTAGGGATGAGCCCATAGTGCTTACTTCCTCAAAAGAACGGCAATCTACGAAGGCGGATCCTACGCAATACAGCCTCGAGTTTGATGAGTCTGCGACTGATCAGAATTGTTCTACGATCCATTCTTCCTATCAGGCTGATGCCGCACAAGTCTTAAACGGCAATTTTACTGAGTCACGATCATTGTCTTCGGCCACACTGATTGCGACTCAGGCCTTACACCAAGCATGTGAAAGTATGGATGATCTTACTGACCGCATTATTGACAGTCCCTTGCCATCTCAATAATGTAGTCGGTCGATCAGTTCATTATCGTGATATTCCCAACTAATTTGCATTCTTGTGATCGAAAACGAGAAGCTTTTTGGCGTCTTTGGCTTCATAACATAGGCATGCATGCTCGTTACCTACTATGGTTTTGCCCGATTTCGAACTGGATATCATGTATTTGAAGGATACAGTGTGTACAACTGTGATATCTTAGTTGTTTTTCTTTTCTATTGAACAGGTAAAAAGCTAAAATTGGACGCATAAATTGACTCACAAGTGTTGTGTATAAAAAGCGGTTCAGAAAACAACTGAGATTCGTATTGACTGCAAACTTCCACCAAGTACCACGGTGGATAATGATCGGTGCTCGTGGCAGTNACGCATTAATTGACTCACAAGTGTTGCGTATAAAACGCGGTTCAGAAAACAACTGAGATTCGTATTGACTGCAAACTTCCACCAAGTACCACGGTGGATAATGATCGGTGCTCGTGGCAGTTCTCCCGAAAAATAATTTAGGACAGAATTCCGCAATACAACCACTACTATCAATGGAATCCCTATAATGTTGGCTATGACATTGCACTATTTCACATTTCATCGAACAACTGTTCTGATTTTTTACGGGAGGAATTAATGGCAAGCTTGAGAGCTTGTTCGTACTTCGATTTATTTCATGTTACTCGTGCACTTAAAGTAGCATGCAGTTGTGACCGCCGTGACTGTTGGAGTCCACTTGACTGCCACCAGTTCTTCGTGCCAGAATGAGTCGGTTTTATGGGTGCCCGCACTGTCATTGCAAAGGAACTGCCGGGTTCGCAAAATCTGTGACGCTATTAAAATTCAACGAAGGGCACTTTATTAACGGTACCAATCTAGGTTTTATGTATCCCCTAAGGCGGTATTGCTATCTCGAGAATAATGGGGGATCTGAGCCAATTTACAAACTTCGTCCTTAGGTTTGATCGCACTACTGCCATTTTAGTCGTCGTCGTAATTGTTTTTGGTTGGGCATGCCCAAGCAGTATTCTCCAGTCATGGAATTAGATCTTTCGCGGAGGCGTCGAATTCTCTGGAAACAGTACATATCAGGCACAGAATTGGCGTTAGTGGACATCCTCTGGGAATGGCTAATATACACAGTAATCAGTGGGAATTGGTTGGATTGCTGCCTTGTTTGCAAGCTGATTTCATTCCTTATATATGAAGACCCCATGAACAGCGGGAAGATCCACCTTGCTAAATCGATATGAACTTTCTTGATACAGATGACATTCATAGTTCCTAAATAAAAAATACGAAAATTAAGTGCTGTTGGATTTCCAGTCTCCAGTTATACGGTCCAAAGAATTAGTGTTGAACATCGCTCCTCACTTCCGTACAGTTTCGTAGTTTATTTGAAGAAATGCCAGTGAAACAAGCGAAAAATTGGACTACAATGTTTTACTACAGACGACAACTGACTATCGTAGTACTGTTGGTATCTGTTCTAAGCATAGCCATATATCGCTTCTCTCCAGTGTAGTCATATAAACTCCGTCCTGCATGGTGGAACACACTAACGACGACCTGGTTCTTCCTTATTGCTATCACTCATCGGTTCCCGGTTCGGTCACTTGCGGATATAATTTCCTCAAGAAGATTTACCTAATGAATGATGGTGATGCTTACGCTATGTAAGGGCGCGACGAGTACAAATTTGGGCATACAAGAATATGTTGAAATGTGGTCAGAAGGGGCTCGTCTTCTTCAGCACCGATGCCCACAATCCCAAGGCTTTTGTTATTTTTTACCTTATCTTTTGCCTTGTTTTCTTTCGAGCAGAACCCTTTTCAAGATGTGTTCTCATTCGGTAAGACTGTGCCAATATGATACTCAGAAATCAACTAACTGGTGCTTCAAGATCTGGGCTAAATATTGGTTAGCTGGTTACCTATCACTTAATGGGTCGTTATATGACATTCAAAGTTTTCTCGAGTGAACGGTGGATGCTGAAAATTCATTCAGTCGTTCAGGCTACATTCAGAACCGGTGACGTTTTAAATCCAGTGGAACCTGTGAGAGATAGGTCTTAGGAAGCGTCTTCCACCGAGTGATTCCAACTTCCATCGATCGACAGCTGATTTTTCCATTCAAGGGTACAGTGTTGCTGTCAGCGGAAAATACTGCGGTTGATTAAAACTGTTTGACAGCAACCACTGGTTCCTTCCTGTTTGTAGTTCTTCAGGTTTTCAGCTTTTCTTCAATCATATTCCATACACGAACTCCGTGGGGGGTCATTCGTGGGGATCAAATATTCATTCACAAGCTAAGAATGTGTGCATGTGAACTCAGGTAAATCTCAAGGTGATGTGCACCCCGTGAGTGGAAGGTGAGTGGCGCTTATGTGCCAGTTAATCACAGTACTGATCAGCCATTGGTGTTCAAATTACTAGCCGTTTCCAGACGCACTGGGGTTTCGTTAGATGCTCACTGCAGATGATTCTTAATAAGACTGGTACAGTGTTTCTCGTTCAGCAAAGGGTGATGTGCACCCCGTGAGTGGAAGGTGAGTGGCGCTTATGTGCCAGTTAATCACAGTACTGATCAGCCATTGGTGTTCAAATTACTAGCCGTTTCCAGACGCACTGGGGTTTCGTTAGATGCTCACTGCAGATGATTCTTAATAAGACTGGTACAGTGTTTCTCGGCTTTTCAGCAAAGATTGGCTTCACTGATCGGACGGGGTCTCCATTGAGAGGTCCAAAACCTCACCAAAAATTCTGAAATATAGATGCCGTTGCCCGTGACGTTAAAATTTATCTTGCATGACAACCGTTTGAATATTCTCCACAAGTAAATATCTGTGATTGGCAGATTGCAATTACTTGTAAATTAAGCTGGTGTTAACGGGAGACTCAACTGAATCCTGGTTGAGCCTCTATCATGAAAAATGCTGCGATATCTCGAGTATCGTATCAACTGGAACATGCAGCCTTTAGACAGTACATTCTACTGAAGAATATCATAAACGAGAGACTCGGCTGCATTCAGATGAGTCTCCCATCAGCGCCAACTTGATTTTCAACTGGTTGTAGTAGGCCAGTCGGTACAATTAGGTGTTCAAGTTGAACATACAGTTGATGAGTTTGCAGACTGTGGCTGGCTAATGAGTCTCAAGAGGGGCGGAACCGGTCATGGACTGTCAAAGAGTTTTCAGTAAGAAATCAGATATACCTACTTCGTAATTTCTGAAAGTCAGAAATCGCTTCATTATACCCCTTTCTACTTATGTTGATCACGCTTACTTGGACGTACAACTATTAACGCCTTAAATCTTTCCAGTATGTATACCTTGAGGGTTGTCACTATATCTCAACTTAAATGTTCCCCAGTTTTTTGTTGAGTGAGTAGTAGTTGTAGTATTTCTAAAATCTGTCTTCAATCCTTCCGTTCTGACACGGTTATTCTCGTCAGTCCACATCGGTCAAGTACGCAAATAGTATGCACTCTCTCCAGTTCCTTGGTGTATTTCAAGACGAGTAAAGTCTGGCTGTATGCTTCTTGTTGAGGTCATCTATGAGAGGTCGCTAGTGGTAAAACTGTGACACATTTTGTCTACAGAAAGCCAATCAAATGCGTCTGGGGTCGTGTTTTTTGTGATGATTCACACAAGTGACGGAAAGTTACCTAACGAAGTGACCATGACCTCTAGTCCACTCCCAACTCCGATAACGATTTGTGCTGTAGAAACATTGTCTTGCAGATTTTGCTATTTCAGAATGATGAAACATCGGATAACTAATATTTTCATCTCTACGGTTTCAAACCCATCCGTATCCCAGCTAGATTCAGCCATTGCCAGAGTGAGTTCTATCAATTCAGACAAACACTCTTCTGAACTCGACAGCTGAAGTTTGGTTGTGAAGCGTGATACTTGAAACATCTGTCACTCTAATTTACGGCTACAAGTTAAATTCGACCTCGTGAAAGTTACTTTTGTTTTAGAGTTTGTCCAGGCATCAAATGTTCCCATTCGTCGAGTAGGTGGGGGTAACCGACCCGGGAAAATTTGCCTAACGATTCATCAGTTCTCAGTGCCGGGCACAAGAAGACAACCCAGTCTAAGTTGTCTTGCCTATGCCAGACGCCTTAGTGCACTTGGCCGTGATGTATCCAACTGTCGGAAACATATGTGCCTGTACGTTCGCACCTTGGTTAGTTTCTCACTTCTGAAATTGCCCGGAGAGAAAGCCGTAACATCAGCGTGTGAAAATCACATATGTGACAGCAGAGTGATTGTTATATCGTTCTAAAACCCGTTCATTTTACCGCGGCATTAGTATTAGTTATAGTGTTTACGAGCAACCGTACCGATGTAGTGGTCGCTATGTGAAAAACCGTCTAACGACTTTACATGGTTATGCCTATAGCAAAAATCAGTGTTGACTATGTTAGCCGAAGCAGAATGTAAAGCTCTACGGATACTGCCGAAGGGTGCGTGTAACTTCTTCCTCCTTAAGACTGAGCACTACGCTTTGTAGGGTGTTGGTATAAGGCGATAGACTTTGTTACTCTAGTCTCAAGCGAACGCACATTCCATTTGGATATTCTGCATGATCAACTGACTGAGCCAGTTCCAGTTTCATAACGCAATTTAGACCAGGTGAGTCGATTCTGGTCACCTCAGGTTTGCAACACCATGCCTCTGAGCTACGGTTCAGATAAAGAAGGGGACATTTTAACTCTCTGAAACGAACGATGGAGTTTTACCGCATCGACTACATTAACAAGACAAACAATATCTTGTCTGATGAATCCAGATCCAGAAAAATAGAAACCCCGGAGAACAAGACACAAGTAGTAGGAATGGTGGTGTCCACAACAGTACGGTGTTTGAAAGAATCAAGGGGTATTGAGACTAATAATACTCACTCAAGTGAGCCAATTCTGTCGATAAACTAGCATTCCCAAGGTACATGAAACTGGCCAACCCTACAAGTCTAATCTTGACATGTACAGTTCATGATTTGGCTAAATGGCCTGTTTGCCTACACCGATCACAAAAGAAATGACGACATATAGTCCCAAAGACGTATTTCACATGATCAACAAGCTTAAACAACTAAAGGTTGATAAGCATACGTTTTGTCGACGTAGTATCGTTATTTGCCTATGTATCACTCATCAAGGTAATAAGCCATGTTCTTGTCTGGCTAGAGTGCA